AGTCATGTCCGACTCTCTGACCCCATGGACCTGCCAGGCTCCTCTGTCCATGGGATTCTCCAGGCAAGAATACTGGAGTGGGTTGCCATTCAATTCTCCAGGGAATGTATTATCTGGAATATGATTAATGTGTTATCTGGAATAATAATAGCTCTGCCCTCCTAGCTAGGCTGCAGCCCATCTCCTGCACTCAGCTCATCTTGGATGAGCAGAGAAGGCCAAGGTGGTAACACTGTCTTATATGCAGAGACAATTGTAAAAAGAGAAAGTTGTCCACTTCCTTCACTCCCTTTACCAGGCATCTTAATCTAGAATCATTTTAGATATATTTCATGTAATTGTGAGCTATATGCAAGGAGAAGAGGCCATCTTTTCATAGTCCACTCTCAAATACTACTGGTTCTTTTTGGCAAATGTTTACCAGCAGAAGTTCATTTTATTATGAAACCGTACCTAACATGTGACCTTAAGCTAGGAGAGAAGGTGGAATTCACCAGACTGGCTCATCCAGATCTAATTTCCAGGCTGCCACCAAGTGATCTCTTCTAAACAGTGTAAATCAGGTCATGTCAACACCTGCTTAAAATCCTTCACTGTCTTTCTACTGACTTCAGAATAAAATCCAAATGCCTTATACAGGGTATTCCCCATCCCACTCTCCAAGGATCAGCCCTGCCTCTTTTTCCAACTGCATCTGGCATGGCTCTCCTCCTCTCCCTCTTCATTCATTCATTCAGTCATTCAACTATTTTTCATCTAGCCTGGGTCAGTCTCTGGGGATACTTTAGTAAAGAGACAGCGCTCTGGTCTGGTGGTGGGAGATGGCATCCCAGCATACTCTGATCACAAGTGTCTGCCTCTGTGACTTGTTGCTCGCTGGTCTCTACCTTCAGGTTACCTCGGCTCCCAGAGGCCCATGTAGAACAGTCCCTACCTCCAGGGTGGTTACACTGTCCTGGCACCCCAGGTGCATTCTTTTTAGCATTCAACAGTCCTGAAAATCCTTTGGCTTGCTTGTGTGCATTTATTATCTTCCTCTACCACAATGGAGTTCCCACGAGGACATGGATCTCTTTGATCTTATTCCCTATCGTATCCTTGACATCTGTTTGCCTGGCATCAGGTAGGAAGCCAAGGAGTAACCATTGAATGAATGATTCAAGGAACAAGTGAACTGACAGTCAGCAGCCAACGCATCTGGTGATGCCTTCGGGCCTGGGGAGAAAGTGTGTAGAGAGTGGACTCTCCTTCCTAATAGCCTGTGCTCATCTCGGTCCCTCTGACTGTGGTTTTGCAGGGGATGACAGCACTCCACTGGGCAGCTTTCCACAACCGGCCTCAACACACCCAAATGCTGCTGAAGAAGGGGGCAGACCCCACCCTTGTGGACAAAGACTTCAAAACAGCTCTCCACTGGGCAGTCCAGGTGAGAAATTGGCCAGTGCGCTTGTCTCAAGTGTAAATGGTGTGAAGCAGTGTTAACAGTTCTGAGCAAGTCAGACCTGTAAGGCACAGTCCCAGCATTGATGTGGGCTTTATATACATGATGGGACTTCCCTTGAGGCTCAGCTGGTAAAGGATCTACCTGCAATGCGGGAGACCTGGGTGTGATCCCTGGGTTGGGAAGATCCCCTGGAGAAAGGAAAGGCTACCCACTCCAGTATTCTGGCCTGGAGAATTCCATGGACTATATCGTCCATGGGGTTGCAATGAGTTGGACACGACTGAGTGACTTTCACTTCACTTCACTTATATGTATGACAGAGCAAGCAAGATATATGCATGCTGCCCTCCTCCCTCCATCCATACCCAGAGGGGCAACAGCAGACATCACTTTGGAGTATTTGGGTACTTTAGTTGCTGAGAAGAAATCCTGCCAAGGTAAAGAGGGTGAGGAGTTACAGAATATCAGGCAGAGCCCACCTTAGCTGTTCCACACACACACATACACATATATACATACCTCACTCTCTCCAGCAGTGCTTGCTGAGGGGCTCACTGTGTTCCATGATAATTCTTCAAAGAACTACTAGGAAGTCCCTTCAGAGTCTTTTGGACCATGAGTCTCTTCTTCCTTCCAAATCCTCTGAAGCAGAGTAATTCCAGGCGACCCTGAGTTCTATTCTGAATCCTGAAAACAGCGGCTCATGACACCCTACCTCGCTATCCCCAAAGGGAGTCTGTATCAGTACACATGACCAGAGAAATCAGAAATCTACAGCCCAAAGAGAGGCGAACTGATACTAAGGTGAAAGAATGACCATCAGTAACTTTTGTTGAGGTGTTGTCTAGGGAAATCATTCAAAGGGATTGATTAACTAAGAGTTATCTGTTCTGTCCTTGAGAGCAGTACTATGCATCCTTTGAACCAACCTGCCAGCCCATTCTGTCTTTTGATGCCTGATGTAGACATCCCCACGGTTTATTTCCATCAGCCCTATAAAGGGACCCTTGCTGAACTGCAGTCAGTATCCCCCTGATTCTATGCGCTCCGACAGTGGTTTCACTTAGGTGTTTTCACGTGCCACACATGGCAGAGAAGGGCACCTGGCACTTTCAGAGTTGACATGTGTGCCTGAGATCAAGGGGAAATAGAAGTGATTTGGAAACTACTCTGTTTTTGTTCTTGCAAGCTTGCCTTCAGTTACTCTGTAGCAGGGCCAGCCCTGACAAAACTCTGAAATGAACAAAGCTTGTTTTTGTCATCCCCACCTGCCCTTAGCACCCTCCTACATACTTTCAGTATTTAATCAGCTGCCTTGCCGCACGATGCCAGTTCCTGCCCAGCACCTAGTCCTCTGGTCAGGGGTCTCCATTGCAGCAGTAGCCTCAGGGCAATATGGCTGGGCAATCAAGAAGCATCCCATGTGTGTTGGTTCTCAGCTGGGGTGACAGTGGTATCAGAATCAAGCATTTTCTGTATCTTCACTCTCATCACTGCTGTTCTCTGAATCCATAGATCTAGGATGGGGCTCCTGTATGTGCATTTGAAAAAAAATCTCCCCAAGTAATTCTTACCTGTATGCCTCCTCTGCTCCACCTTCTTCCACTGCACCCACAATTTAGAGCTACTTTTTGGGACGCAGGCTTGCAATTGAATCAGCAGTGCTTGTAAGATGACAAATTCCCAGACCCCACTCCAGATCTAATGAGTTGGGCTCTTTGTGGGTGGGAACCCCTGTTTTCATCCTCCAAGAGGCAAAATCAAAGAAAAATGTGCTCAGCTCAGAGGATCTGAGTTTGCATTAACAGAACCGGATTTGTTCTGAGAAAAGTCACTGATGCCTGCTTGGCTTAACTATTGGTGTATCTTTGGGGTATGAATGAGATAGTGTGCATGACAGTGATATATAATATTCTATGTAATTGGAAGAGATTATAGTTTTTATTATGGTCCCAAATTTCCTTTATGAAAGCTTAATTAACATACTATCTATATAATCTTTCTGTCTACTAAATGATGTGGCTTTTAACCTGCTACATTGATTTTAGTCCTGTCTGCACATTAGAATCAACTGAAGAGCTTTTAAGCAATACTGATTCTCAAACCCCATACCTATTTTCAGTCAATTATTCCGGGGTGCAACCCAGGTGTTAGTATTTTTGTAACATTTTCCCTTCCTCTAGGAGATGGTAATGCCCAGCTAGAGTTGAAAATCACTATGATAAATGAATTCATATGAACAGGTGCTAAAACCTTAACTACTCCTACCTAAGATATTTCATTCTGACCTGTGATTTTATAAACTAAGTATAATGCCTCACACATTTATATACTCAATAGCTTAATAAATGCTTAGTGAGCACCTACTTTGTATGTGGCATGGGAAGAGGGAGAGATTAACACAACAGGTCCCTTCTAGGACCCCTATAATCACATGTGATATTGCATGGGTGGGTGTGTGAGGATGTTAGCATACGTTTTTCTGAGAAAGGTGTCCACTATTTCTTCAACTCTTCAATGAGGATCTGTAACCAGACCACAAAGGTTAAGAATCTTACTCTGGAGGAACTGTGCACCCCCTCCCTCCTTGTAGCTAGCACTAAAATTCAGAAGTGATGTGCTTTGCCCTTTACTTTACAGAGAAGACCAAGGGTAATTCCAAATGTCAACCAGGATTACACTTGCCTCCTTTAGCTATCTTCTTCATTTATAACATGGGGCCAGCACTCTGCTCCTCTTGAAGTTTTTCCATATAAATAGGCCTATTTCCTGTTGTCATTTATTCCTTTCACTGAACTTGGGGCTTTTCTCTGGGACTATATGAGACCATATTTAAAGTGACAGGACTTCAAGTTAATAAAGCCTCTGTATTTGACCCAGATAATCAAAGCAGTAAAGATTTGAAACACGGCCCACAAAGTAAGGCCTTCCCAGGTGGTGCTAGTGGTAAAAGAACCCGCCTGCCAATGCAGGAGACATAAGAGATATGGGTTCGATCCCTGGCTCGGGAGGATCCCCTGGAGAAAGAAATAGCAACCCGCTCCAGTATTCTTGCCTGGAGAATCCCCATGGACAGAGGAGCCTGGGGGGCTATAGTCCATGGGATCGCAAAGAGTCGGACACAACAGAACAACTAACACTTTCTTGCAAGCACGCACTCCCAGAAAGTAAACTATGTTTGACTTCTGCCCCCATTTCTCAGGTCCCTTGGTAGCTGGTGGGGCCCTCCTGTGGGCCCATCGCCCTCATTCACCTCCCCCATCTGCCCAGGAGACTCCACTGTTTGGCTGTCTCTGGGCTAATGCTGAGCAGAACCCTGTCCCTATGGGCATCCAGTCTCCCCTAATGAAATCTCAGTCTCTTCGGGGCATGTTCCCGCCTATTTGTGATGGCACTCACTTATCAGGAGTCTGCACAGGTCTCTCTCAGCTTCATCTCCCTCTCACTCCTCAACACTGCAGAAATTTAGTCATAAATCTTTTTTTCATTCTCTTCTCAGGAAGCCCACCGGTTCCAATGACTTCAGCTACCAATCTACTCAGAATTTTCTCAGGTCAAAATCCAGCAACTGACCTCTTTCTTGACACTAGGCTCACATTTCCAGCTCTACCAGGCATCTTCCCATCATCTCCCATGGATGTGTCAAAGTCAACGCGTTCAAACTGAATCCACAGTCTCTCCTTCCCGTCACATCTCCATCCTCCCTCTAGTCCAAGACAGAGGCCTCTAGGTGGTCCCTGAACACTCCTTCCTTATCATCATTCACGTACAGTTGGTTGTCAAGACCTCTTCCTTCCACCTCCTCGGGTCTCACAGTTGCCTCTTTCCTATCTCCACTGTATAGATCAGGGTCCTAGCACAAAGCAGCCCACTTAGATGGGATTAATTGAGCATAGACTCATAAAAAGGCTATTTACACCCAACCACAGGTTGCCATAGGGAATCAGGGCCTAAAAGAGCCTGGGAGGGAGAGGTTACTAAGACACAGCAAAAGTTGTAGCTGCAGGAGAGGGCCCAGGACAGAAGCGGTGGCCCTGGATGGAATAATCAACCTGTTATCTAGCAGGGAGAGAACTGAAAGACAAATGCCCCAGGCACTATTTCCTCCTTACGTCCATCTCCTGCCAGTGCCACTCACTGGCCCATCCCACCTAGCAGCCACAGGGCAAAGGAGCCCATTTAATGCAGCTCACATCTGCTGAGAGCAGGCTGAAACAAGGGAGTTAACCAGAAAGAACAAATGGAGATGATTAAGTCCACCCACCGTCACTGCCTTAGGTCAAGCTTCCCCTATTTCTCACAGGAAGTTTCAGTATCTGTATTTCTACTTCAGCCCTTTCTTCCTCTACTCTATTCTCACATTGCCGCCAGGTGCTCTTTCTACAAATCACAAAGGAATGTACTCACATAACCGTTACTACACCAAAACACTTATGGTCACCCTTGGTTCTTAGCTCAAAAACCTTCAGCAAGTGCTGTTTTTGGTAAAGAGCAAACTCCTTGATTTGCACTGACTGCTGTGAACAGCCACTCCCCACCTCATCCTATTCCCTGCCTTTCCTCTTCAATCTGTATAGACATTAATCCAATCATACTAGAATATTAATAATCCCCTCAATACATGATAAACATTCATCCAGTCTTCCCCTTGGTCATCCTGTTCCCTTTTGGTGAAGCATTTCTTTCTACTTGTTTTTCTTTAAGTGGTATATACTTAACAGTAATCTTATTGATTTATTTGGCTGCATCAGGTCTTAGTTGTGGTATGCAGAATCTTTCCTTATGGCACTCTGGCTCAGCAGTTGAGGCTCAAAGGTTAATTTGCCCCACCACATGTGGGATCTTCGTTCCTCAGTCAGGGATTAAACCCAAGTCCCCTGCATTAGAAGGCGAATTCTTAACCACTGGACCATCGAGGAAGTCCCAATACTTTTTTCTTCTTACTTTCCCTGCATCATCCCTTCTAACTGCAGAATTTATAC